CTAATCCTGTGATCAGAAATGCTATTGTCAGGAGGATTGAGAGAGTTAATCCGTAACTGGTGTCAGTTAAGTTTTACAAATCTACACTCTGGCCTTTAGCAACAGCTCAAAACACAGAGGATCCAAATTACTGGAAAGACTTGAGAGGAAGGTCCTTCTGTAATTTATTCCAGCTTTCAAGTGCACTGCTGAAATTCATAAGCCTCATAGTGACAACTCGATCCATCTGTACTCTTCTTTACAATTGAGATGGCTGCTTTATACAGTTCCTTTTTCACCTGGACACATTAAGAGAAATGTGACCAAAAGACATTTCTTTAGATAATGAGTGTTAAATAGAATTCCTGTAGTTTTTCATCTTATTCTTTGCCTAATATAAATGTATCAGTTTTCTTTAAGTGTCTTTTTTTGTCTTTAAGTTTTCTCTAAAAAGTGCATATATATGTATGTATTAAAATGTACTCTATGGAATGCTTTCTATTTCATTTTATAAGTAAAAATTATCTTTTTTGTCTGCTTTAGCAAAAAAAGTTGTGCTCTGCACTATAAGATTGAAAGTACATTATTAATCACAGAACTGCCAGTTTTCAGATATGAAAATTAACTTTATTCCTTGGTTTTTCAGCGAAGGCGGAGATGAAAATGGACCTAAGTGCAACTCGCACTTGAGTGCTTGCTGACTTGTCCCTGTCGGCTCTGTAACTGGTGAAGATGATGAGCTCAGAGGTAATGCCTGTACCCTTCCTTCCTCCTCATTTGGGCTGACCATGTTATAAAGAAAGCAAGAGAGAAAGCAGGAAAGTATCAACTTTGCTTGGACCTCTTGTTTCCCTGTAGGGAAGTGTATGATCTTCTCTGGAAGTGGATAGAATCAAACACTTGAAATGCATGTCACAGAAAAGGCTGGAAAAAAAAAGGGTAGAAGAGTCAATGCTGCTATAATTATTCTGGTAATAGTGCCAGTGGTAGAGACAGACACGGATGTTGGAAGTATAATTATGGCAGTGACTGTAGCAATAACAAAGGCGCTGTAACAGCAGGCACGCACTTTCCGTTTTCCTTCCTTTAAACAAAGCCATCAAAAGAAGCCAATGACATATTTTTTAATGAGAGAAAAAGTATTTTGATTTCRATCACATATCCCCTTGCTGCTTTCCCTTGTCCTAAATTATCCCCTGCCTTGAATTGTAAGATCAGGCAGGGTATGATGTTAAAGCCAAAGAGACTCAGTCCTCTGTGTAAAATGCCTGTATAGACAGTTCTACAGAAATTAATAGCATAGAGAAATATGGAAAACTTTAATTGACCCAACTGTATCATTTTTAAGGGTTTTACTGTGTGGTTGACACAGAGACATGAAATGAGGCAGATTTATGGCCAACTTGCTCCTTTTTATCTTTTATCATCTTTTCTAGTTGCCCTGTTTACTATTTTAGATTGATCTGTGGGATCAAGAAAGAGCTATCCCTTGGAGGACAAACAAACCTTGAAAAGAAGAATATTTAAAGTATAAAAAGCTCAGAAGGAAAGAAGGAATAAGTAAATATATGAATACTTACTATGTTCATCTTACGGAGTAACTCATAAACAGACCTGATATCAGAAGACACTATAATCAATTTCAGCAATTTACTACCAGTCTATTTGTGGTCTGTGTTGAAAAGGGAGAGCAAGAAGACTGTTTTCCTTTGACACCATTTTTATAGTTGAAAATCTTTAGTCAAGGATTGATAWTTTGAAGCAGTAGCTTTTATAGTTAGAAACAAAGCTAAGCCAGTGAATATACTTTTTTTCCGAAGAAATGTGTTTTAAGAGATGGCCAATCTTTTTCCCCATTAAATGACTATTTTAAAGCTAAAGAGCTGCTTTTTATGTGCATGAAAGAGGTAATAATTGACTGATTTCCATTAACTATCAGAGAACTTGTAACTTCCTTGAAGAAACAAGCAAGAAGTTAAAATTGACCTTCTGCTATAAAGTAACTGAAAAAATCAGACAAAGTCCAATTTCAAGGAGAAAKGTTGCAGACTGGCTGGGGCAACATGTGGTCATTGTAGATGTGGTTGGTATAAAACTTATGTGTTTTTCCAAGTAGTTTGACATAGAGATTTAGTAAGAGGTATTCATGAGGGATTRTTTACATACCTTAAAGCATCTTAGGAAAGAATGAATTCTACCAAAGACATTGCTATTCTTTTCCATATGAACATTACAGTTAGACCACGGCCAACCAGATTCAAGCAGATACAATATAGATACTTTTAAAGCAGAACGTAGACTTAGAATGCTATCTGCTTTGTTCATTTGCTTGTTTCCCTGTTCCTTGTGTTTCAGAACTTGAGAGTGTATTGATGCAGTGGCTTTCTTCACTTYGGATATGATGATAGGAATTTCAGAACACAAAATGCGGAAATGTGCATCTGGGTCTCATATCCACAAAAGGTGCCAGCGTTCTGGAAACTTATGGAGTTTGACAGACTGAGATGGTATAAGCACCCTTTGGGCTCCCCGCAGTGAGAGGCTTGAGGTAACAGAAAGAAGAAGGGAGCAGAATGAGCCATGGATGGTACCTGAAGCAGGTGTTTGACCATGATAATGTCAATCCATCTCACCAGCGGAGGTGAGTGATGGCTCAGTGAGGTTAGGGGAAGTTTGCATAGGCCAGGAAGTGGTCCCAAAAACTAGCTCAGGCACTCCCTTATTTCTGAGGCCTCAGAAGAATCATGAGCATAAGTTAAGATCAAATGGTTAAGGCAACTACATAGCATAAGTGATAAGCAATTGATAGAATTATTTTGAAAATACTGGTTAAAATGGCCTTTACAGATGATAGAAAAAAAAAAAAACTTATATCTTGAAGGAAGTATGTGGCTGCTTCAAAGGAAAATGAAAAGCAGCTATTGTCATTAGCAGAAGGTAGGTACTTGTTGATGTCCTTTTGCTAGTACAGTTCARCCCTGAAGAAATGGGATCTGGCTTTTGGTTGTCTGTCTTTCTGCTTGTGCAAACATGTTTTGAGAGTTTATACAGAATATTACATGATAAAAGAAAAACAAAGCTTTTGCATTTATATTCTCTCTTTGACCTGTTTTTTGTATTGTTTACATAAAGGTTATGGTCTACACTGGAGCAGGTCAGGAGGAGTTAACCTTGGTAGTAAATCTTGCAGTAGTAGCTGATTCTAGTATCTTTCTATAAATAACCTTGTGTTATTGGCTTTATAGAGTGACTGTCACATGCATTTGTAATGAGTATACCTTTTGCTTCCTTATATGAAGATGAAATCTATGGAGAGGGAGACTAATCTTTCTTTACTATAGAGAAAGMAAAGAGGAAGACAAGTTCTTCAATTCCTTATCAGTAAAAATCTCAATACAGTCATGAATCAAATTTCCTGCTAGGAGATCAGTCAGAATCTTTAGGTACAGATTTTAGCTAGGGATTAGATCTCTCTCTGGACTTAGGTGACCATGCATGGACATAAGAGGAAAAATATTCCAAATATTCTTTTATCTTGGATTAATTTTCACAGAGAAGCAGCTTTAAAGGCAGATTGTGATGAAGGGCATAGGAAAAAGGAGGGGACAAAGCCTATGGCTTTTGCTCTGTTCATCTGAGTGTGTTCTGTGTGGCCGCAGCTGATATTAGCCAAAACACAGTATGCCTCTAAAAGGAAGGAAGAATCTGAAGGACCTTTTTCTTTTGGATATGTCTGACTCATAGTGCTTCCCATGGTCCTCTTAGGGTAATGTAGCTTATGCAATGCATATGACCACTGGATTAAATATAGAAGATAGTTATTAGCCTTGCAGTGCTTTCAGCATTCCTGGGGGTTTCCCTGCATGCTGCTGTGCTAGACAGGCCTTGGGTATGTTCTGAAGAGGATTAAATTTCCCTTTGATTTCTTGCACAAGGTATTACTGTAACTGCTTAATGATGCAGGGGCAGTGCAATGGGCCTGCTGCTGAGCAATTGAAGCAGATGCTCAAAGAYGTCCTGTGTGCCCACGGAAGGTGCTCAGGCTGTCTGTTAAAGAGGTGATTTTAATGTAAGGATAATGACCGGGAAGGCAAAAGGAAAAGGACAGCTGATCATGTATTTTGTTCCTTTAGTGGATATTAAAGCAATTAGAAGTATTTCAGGATGACAAAGCAGTTAGGAAGGAAAGTGTGTACGAAATGCATAAAAAGAGCAACTTAACCCTTAAATAATATAGAGAATAAAATCATGTCTTTCACACAAGTCTGGTATAACTGTTTGGAAATAAGTGGTCTGGAGAAATATATTAAAAGCCCACTGTCTTAATGGGTTTGTTTCTTGAGTAGAATTTATGCTTTTAAGATATTTTGTGCAAAAGTTTCATCATTGATAAGGAATATTTTCATTTTCTATGTCCCCATGGAAAAGAGGGGTATTTTCATGCATCAAAGCTGATGGCTGACTCACTGATGAGATTGATGGGTACCATGTGCATTCCATCTGAAACAGGGGATTTCCTTTAACATTTTAACTACTGAAAGTATTCTTTTTTTAGAATGCCATTTCAAAGGTGTGGTTGCTTTTAAATTTAAATAGAGCTCACATTTTTAATCTATTCCATTTTACTTTACCATTTTTTCTCACCATCTCCTAGATCACATATTTTTTGTTAACTTACAGAACTGCAGAGGGCCGGATTCTCGCTGTAATATTTTTGGTGCTGATTTTTATGGGACAGGGTCTGCTTACATCTGGGGAGGTTTGGATTCTTCCCTGTTGCTCTGCTTCTCCTTTTCACTGTGTGTGTATATATATATTTTTCTTTATGTTTTAAAGTATTACTTATTCCGCAGTAATTCTTCTATTAATGCAATTTTATTTTCAAGCAAATCTAAGTTTAATTCTGTTGAGAAGAGGCAAATCAGACGCTGTGTCATGCAAAGCTGCATGGTCTCATTACTSTGCTTGCAAATGTGTCCTGTTGGCTAATACGATGACAGGACTGTCAGTATGATTGCCCAAATTGGCAATAAAGGGTGGAATCAATTGGGATATTGGAAGTCAAATATAATAAGTCATGGTCTAGCCAACAGTTGTAAATTGCTTCTTCTCATTAGAAGACAGATTTTAAATCTGAAGAATCAGCAGTGCCTATGAGAGGCCTAAAAGTGATCTGAAATTAACCTGTGGCATAATCAGGTATTTTTGATTATGAATATGTCTCACCATCTAAAACCTGATGAGATTATCTCAGAGACAGTCTGTGTGGTTGTGGATATGCAGCTTTGGACTGATGTTTGCACTCRTGGCATGGATGCATTAGCATTTCTCTGAGCATGGAGAAAATGTGCCCTGCTTCGGTAGCAGGGAATAAACTTCCTAGTTTGCCTTTTACACTTGAAAAAATCATAAAATCTTAGCTTTGTATTTTGTAAATTTTGTGTCTCAATGGCAAGTGATTAATCACTGTTGCAGGTTTAGTTGATACACCTTTTGTGGTCACTAGGTGGAGGTATGCAACCATAATGAAGAATGATTTTCCTGCGTCACGTAACGTAAAATGAAAAAGATCTTCCCGTGCTGGTTTGCACAGCGGGGAGTGTRCTTTATCATTGGAAATATAATTCTGGTACCAAATCTTTTGAGGATAACACCTAAGCACTTGCCAATCCACCACCCTGAATCAGAGTGAACTTTGTCACCTGAGTTGGTTTTGAGGTACTAAATGAAAAAAATTGTAGTGTTTAGCTATAATTTAAACCMAAGTATGTTTTGTTATCAGTAATCCACTTTTACAGTTAGACAAACAGGAACATTATTTAGGTCATGAATAGATGTATGAGTTKGCAGTAAATTCGTGCATGAGCTAGGAGAAAAGAGGAACTTAGAAATATGTATCTTATACTTGATGTAACCTGGAGGCAAATATTTATTATGTSCCCGTTTGCACAGACAATTATGAAAAGCAAAGCTGCAATTTTATAGAGTCATCGTATTTCCTGCATGCTGCATCTGAACCACCAAGCAAGAAATAAAAACATAAACAGCCTTTTCTTTCAGCGGCAATCTGACAATGCTCATTTACAGTCACTTGTAGCCATGGCATCTTCTCAGTAATGATCTTGGTCTCTTGTCATCAATCATACAGAAGAAGGCTACAGTGTGCACATGTTTTCTAATGTTGTGGGTGAAACTGGTATATAGGTTTTTCATATTTAGCTAAAATGATTAATTATTGATTATTACTAAACCATTACTGATCATTATTAAATAATTAATTACCACCCTGACCCTTCAGAAACAAGATTGTGCATACCTCGATAGTCTACATATTTTTATCGTGTTCACTATAAATGGTAAGCAGGCCACAGGGTTTATTGGCTACAGGATTATTTAGAATCACATTTGTTGATGATCAGCAGTACTTTAAAACACAAAACTGGAATCTTCATGTTGCACCACARTGGTGAGTGGTGCCCCCCTGTGGAGGTGCTTCTCCCTAAAGAGTTCAAGCTGGATGGTGGGAAGTATTGCACAAAGGGAAGAAARGAGAAGGCATTGGCTTGGAAAGAGGACTTACTCTGCTAAGTGAAGCCACCAAGCCTGTCAGCAAAGTAACTTCTCTCTGCTCTGTGTGATACTGTGATATGGGTACTTTGGAAAAGATGGTAGGAGGACAAGCATATATAAGTACTTCCTTCTACATGTGATTCATCTTCTGAAAAATTGAGAAGGTCCTGAATGAGAGGTTGCATTGTTGTATCTAGTTGTATTTTTTTCTTGAGTTTAAGAGGTTTTTTTAAGCAATTATCTTTTAGCCTTCACATCATCCTGTGGCAATGAGATTTGTGATTCACTGTTGTATGGAAAAATATTGTCTTTGTTTTTCTTCTGATTATGCTCAAATGCTGAGAGTTTGTGAATCAGTAAAATGTTCCTTATTCACCTTCCTTATGCCATTCATAATTCTGTATGCTTCAGTTGTATCCTACTTGCAGTATGTGCACGGTTATGTGAATGGAGGAGTGGATATAGCAGGCAAGCGGGAAAGACGAAGGGAGAGAGCACATATTATCAGTAGAAAACTCATTTAGTTGGCAGTGCTCTGAAAAATTATATGCATCTACTTGAAAGGTGTTGGTGATTATTTGTAGATACTTGTGCTCTATGTTCTGCAGGACGTTAAGTTACTGACTTCTTACGTGGTACGAAATTATTKGACCTTGCAGTCAGTCTGAATCATTCTCTGTAGAGGTTAATGCTGCTCACATTGGTAACAAGCCTTTTTATTGTGGTAAAACCCTAGTATTTATAGTGGTTTGCAAGGAGCTCCAGTAGAGATTTCTTACCAATATTTTTGTCTGCGACACCTGCAGGAGGAACTCCAGAAGTAGGGAACAGGACTTTAGGGTTACTTCTCGTCTCTCATTGTAAGGATATCTGCAGAATGACTGCTACCTCCCTAACCTGTTTTGAGGAGCAGTGAAGGTTGTAAA